ATACGGCTGGTCCAGAGCGATGCAGGGTACAGGGTCCCGGCGCCCACCCTTGGCCAGCTCCGCGCCGCCGGGGCTTCCCAGGCGACCCTTCATTTCCTGGTTCCAGGAGCACGTGTGGGTGCTGCCTGCCCTCTTGGTTCCTGAAGCTCGTTTTTCTGGGGACTGGCTGTCGCGAGTTGGGGCGAGGGGGCGCCCTGCTCGGGTCCCGCAGCGGCCTGGCCTTCTCGGATTTGGGCGGGGACTTGAAGTTCCAGTCCTCTCCAGGAGGGTCCCTCGACCTCAAGCATCTGGAAGGTGGCAGCCCAGACAGCGCCTCGGGGTGCGCTGCCTGTAGGAGGCGGTGTTGGGGGAGGACGGCTGCTTTCCAGGCCTCCAGCCTCTACGGGAGCCGACCACCCCACCTCTTGCCCCCTGCTGCTGGGAAAGTCGGTGGTGGCCGCGGGCGGGCAGGCGGGCTGCCCAGACCGCTGCGTCACCCCAGCGGCGGGCGGGGGGGTGATTCATCCCAGTAACGGCCTAGGGTGTGGCGAGTGGGGGCGACTGTGGGGGGCGGACCAGCAGGACCGGAAATCGACTGCCGCAGACCTCCCTCACCCCCCTGGCCCGCGCGCTCTGCTGGCCTCCTTGAGTCTCCTGGAGCCCCTACGGGTGATGTTCTGGGGAAGCTTGGTATCTGCGAGCAGAAAGAAGCAGGGTAGAAGTGAGAATGGACTAGTGTGGGGATCCGGGGTAGGAGACCCGTGGTCCACCTAGTTTTCTGACTCCAGAGCACCAGACAGAAGGACAGCTCCCGGTCTGTAAGCCCACTTCCAATTTCTCCTTCCTAGTCCACAGGGAAGATTTCAGACTGCAGAAGAGGCCAAGGTAGGATGAGGCCAGCAGGGCCCTGCCCTTCCAGAATCAACAAATAAGCCCGTCCAAGTGCAATTCTTCCCCCACACCCCAGCCCCGCTGGGGACTGGCCTCTAATCCTCCCCGCCACCCCACCCCATCCCTTCTCCCCCCAGGATTTTCAGATATGGAGCTCTCTAGTTCAGAATGGGCCTTCTGTTGCCAGGATATTTCTTCTGAACTATTTCCTTGAATCTACATGTCTACCCCAACACTTGCAACTTCCCTTCTCCACATGCTTCCATTCCCTCCACAGTTGCTTCCCTGAGGAAGCCCTTGCACGTGTCTGTACCTGTGAAGTGACCCTTCCCAAGGATCCCACTTCTGCTCCCCCTCCCCTGCCTCTGACCCGGCTGAGCGCCTCCTGACCACTTCTGCGCTGAGTGGATGTTTCTGCCCGGTGCCCCCACCCTGCCCCATGCCTGTGTTTGGTACACAGAAGCCATGGCAACGGCCCCCCCACACCCCTCCTCCCCTGCAAGCCTTGTGGCTTCCTGTTTGTGGAGCTTCAGCTTTCTCTTCTGCTCCCTGACTTTTCTGAGAGCAAGGGGGCTGCCCCAAGGTGGCCCTTCAGTCATAGGTCTCCCAGCGCCCCTGCTGCCTGCGGCACTTCACTTTAGAGGCAAGGGATCCCACTTCGCTTTTTCAGGATAGTCTAAATGCCAGTTCTGGGTTGGGAAGTCCCCCTGTGTCCTCTCTGCACAATGAATGGAGAGTCCCTTTGTCTTCACAATTCAACACCCCAGCCCGGAGCCCTGGAATCCTCCCGCCCCGCCCCACCCCTGCGTCCTCGGTGGGGTGAGGTAAGCCTCCCTGGTCCAGCCAGGGTCTGGGTGCGGCTGAGGGCTGGAGTGCCTTCTGAGCCCCTCCCTTCTCCCAGCTGTTGTGACCTCGTGGGTGGGGGTGCGGGCTGTTCCCACTGCTGTCTGGAGTGCCTCTGGAGTTCACCTTACTCACTGCCAACCCACCCCCCAAGCTGTGCAGCTGTCGTCTTCCCTTTGGACCCCCAGCTCTGGGCCTTTCCCACACAGCTTCTCCCCACTCCAGCAGGCAACTGGCTACCTTCCCTCCTTTAAGGGCGAGCCCGGGTGTCACTCGGGTGGGCCACTGCAGTCCCAGCCCCACGGCTCCTCGGAGGCTGTCTGCTCGTGGGGGCGGGGAGCACAGCTGTGGGCAGGCGGCCTCACAGCTCTGGCACCGCAGGGTCGGGGGCAGAGGCCCCGAGTGGAGCTGAGATACTGCAGCTGGAGCCCGTGACCTTGCCAGCTGTGTCCAGGCTCCAGCGTTTAGGAGGGCTCTCAACACCCACCCAGAGGTGGGCCTAGGGGGCTGAGTCTGTCCTACCCCTCCACAGGCAATAGCATAGGGGACAGGCTTTGGCCCTGCTCTCCCTTTGTAACCCTGGTGTCCGGGTTAATCATTCTCCTGTCCTTTCCTGGCCATAGTGATTGCTGGGCCTCAGGCCAGTTGGCTCCATGGAGACCCAGCCCTGAGGCCCAGGTGACCGCAGTGAAGCTGCTCCCAGAAGTGAGGTCTGGACAAGGGGCTGGGACAAGGGGATTTCCTGGTGGCAGCAGCCTCTGCCCCCTCTCCTTCCTTCCAAGCCTTCCTGTGCGGCAGGGGTCACAGGCTGGCAGAGACAGTGGTGGCTGAGCAGTTGGGGCTGAGCTGGGGGCAGGGAATCTTGTCTGCGCTCTCCACAGACCTCAGCCACTCAGCCGGCCTGCCCTCCCCCAGCCAAGTGTGTGTGTGGATAGTGTGTGGGTCAAGGCCCAGACTGACATTTATCTGGCTGGGCTTTCAGGCTGGGTGAAGTGGGGGTGGGTTGTTCTTAATGAGGTTTAAAAATAGCTGATTTATGGGGAGGATCTCTGCTGGAAACCGTGCATCCCCCATAAGCTGGAGGCAGAAAGGGCAGCCCTGTTGGGAGTGTGGGGAGGGGAGGCCTGAGGTGGCCCCCGCAGGGACCAAGAGGTGTGAGGGGGTTTGAGGCAGCTGCTGTCCGTGTGACCTGCCCAGAGGGCCAGGGAGGAGGCCGGTAGGATAGCTCAACCTGCTGTGTGCCTGACTTCATCCCTCAAGTCTGACCTGGCCTGGGGCCAGGCTGGGGAGGGCGAGTGTCTCCCTTCCCTCCACTCCAACTTAGGTGCCTGGTTTGGGGCATCCTCTGTTCTGTACAGGCAGCCAGCTCTATTTCAGAGCAGAAAGAAGACCATGGGGAGGAGACAGGGGCAGGAAACTGAGTCCCATCCCACCTCTGGTCCTGGCCCCCCTTAACATGTGGCATTCCAGGACAGGGCTCTGACTTAGGCAGCGAGGTGGCGGGTGGGGACAGACTGCCTACTACGAGGTGCGGTGCTGTCAACTCAGGCCAGTGGTCAGGAAACCAGCCCCCCCCTCCCCGTTCCTCCTAACTGAGGTCCTCAAACTAATACCATCCAAGGCTCCTGAATTAGGCCTTATTCCTGCTATAACAAATTATCACTAATTTTGTGACTTAAAGCAACATACATTTAGTATCTTGTGGTGCTAGGTCTCTCTGGCTAAAATCAAGGTGTCAGCAGGGCTGCATTCTTTCTAGGGGTGCCTAGGGGAGACTCCACGTCTTGCTTTTCCTAGCTTCTTGAGGCCACTTGTATTGCTTGGCTCATGGCCCTGTGAAACTCCATCATTGACTTCCTTCTCATTCTCCCACTTTGACTCAACTGCCTTCCTCTTTCACTTATAAGGACCCTTGCTGTGAGTACATTGGGCCCCGCTGGATGACCCAGGGTACTTTCCCTATCTCAAGATCCTTAATTCAGTCACACCTGCAAAATCCCTTTTGCAGTATAAGGTAACATGTGCAGGTTCTGGGAATTAGGACATAGGCACCTTTGCATGAGCCATTCTGCCTCCCACTCCTTTTAGAAAGGAAAGTAGAATCAAGTAATACCTGATTTCTCAGGGAAAGTCCCATTGCCTAGTGAAATCTGTTAAGGGCCTACTCAGACCCACGTCTCCAGGAAGCCCTCCAGGCTGCTTCTGTCCATACTCCTCCCTTAATTCCTGCGGCAAACGGGCTTCCCTGCTGGCTCAGCAGTAGAGAATCCGCCTGCAGTGCAGGAGATGTGGGTTTGATCCCTGGGTCAGGAAGATCCCCTGGAGGAGGACATGGCAACCCACTCTGATATTCTTGCCTGGGGAATCCCATGGACAGAGGAACCTGGTGGGCTACAGTCCATGTTGTTGGATGACTTAGCAACATGATCTGTGTAGTTTAATATTCATCCTGTACAGCTCTTGCGTATGAGCTGCCTCTGTCTCTCTGATGGCATTATGTGCAACTTTGGAATCAAGGATTTCTGTCTCTTCTGCAAGCCCCAGTGCAAATAGCCAGTGCTCAATGAAAGTGTTAGTTGCTCAGTCGTGTCTGACTTTTTGTGACTCCATGGGCTGTAGCCTGCCAGGCTCCTCTGTCCATGGGATTTTCCAGGCAAGAATACTGGAGTGGGTTGCCATTTCTTTCTCCAGGGGATCTTCCCAACCCAGAGATCAAACCCACGTCTCTTGCATCTCCTGCATTGGCAGGTGTATTCTTTACTGCTAATGCCACCTGGGAAGCTCAGTGAAAACCCAGTGGCTAATTGAGGGTAGATCTGTCTAGTCCTCTAACTCCTGGCAGGGCTTCCCAAGCCACTCCATATTCTTTCCGAATCATTCTCCTTCCCAGACTGGAAAAGGCACAGCTGGGGTTAGAATGACCAGTTTGCCTTTGCTAAAGCTGACCACCCCTAATGAGGGGCTGAACCGCCAATCCTGGCCTCATTTACCCTATGTTCTATTCCAGTGGGTTTTATACTTCATTGTAGAAGTGGAACCATTCAAATGAAATCTAATGGGAAGCCTCAATATAGTAGACAGGTCCGGTCATAAGGGTGGGAGAACCCACAGGGGCCAAGGTGAGACACTCTCATTTGGCAGCTGTTCTCCCCTCTGGGACCCACCTGAGGGATATGGTGTGTGTCCCTGGGGCAGAGTCCCCCACTCTGCAGGCTGCAGAGTGCTGACCGCAGGTCTGGTTGTGTCCTCTCCCCAGCCCCCCACAGCCACTGCCGCCACCCTTCACAATGGCCAACAGGGGACCTGCCTATGGCCTGAGCCGGGAGGTACAGCAGAAGATCGAGAAACAATACGATGCGGACCTGGAGCAAATCCTGATCCAGTGGATCACCACCCAGTGCCGCAAGGATGTGGGCCGGCCCCAGCCTGGGCGTGAGAACTTCCAGAACTGGCTCAAGGATGGCACGGTGAGAGCAGGTCGCTCCGGGAGAGCGAGAGTGGGCTGGGCCTGGGGGAGCGGGAATGGTCTCAGCTGAAGAAAGGAGTGCAACCGTGTCCCCACCTTTCCGGAGCCCGGGCATCTCCATCATGCAGAGGCCCTCCTGTTTTCCTCCCTCCCACCAAGGGAAGTGGAAGCCTTAGGTAGCAGGAAGGAGGAGGAGCTCCAGGGGAAGAGCTGGGGGAGGTGTGTTCTAGTCAGTGATCCTTGAATAGCATGGTTCACTTTCTGGGCTCAGAGGCAGGGGCTGGGCAGAAAGGAGCCCGAGGCTTTCTCCAGGTGGAGTCAGAACTGTCCTGAGGTAGGAGAGGCACCTCCGTCATTCTCTGGAGCTGAGGGTGGTGCACTGTGACCTGTGGTGGGCACGGCCTCACCTCTGCACGCCTGCTATCCTCCCCCAGGTGCTGTGTGAGCTCATTAATGGGCTGTACCCTGAGGGGCAGGCCCCAGTGAAGAAGATCCAGGCCTCCACCATGGCCTTCAAGCAGATGGAGCAGATTTCCCAGTTCCTGCAAGCAGCCGAGCGCTACGGCATCAACACCACTGACATCTTCCAGACCGTGGACCTCTGGGAAGGTGGGCCAAGGCTAGGGTCAGGGCACTGTTGTCCAGAAGAGCAGAGGTTGGCCTGAGCCATCTCCAGGGAGAAGGGGCAGGTTTCTGGCACCCCGAGGACAGAGGGGAGTGTGGATGTGTGTGTGTGCTCATTTCTTTGTGTTTTTATAGAGGAGTTGACCAAGTGGGAGTTTGGAATGGAGAAGAATAGGGAGATCAAGAGTCAAAGAACTTGGGGGCTGGGCCTGCTGACTTAGTGATAGAGGTGGAAGCCTGGCATTCAGGACCCTGGCCCCGTGGAGGCTAATATAGCCCCTCCTCCTTCCCAGGAAAGAACATGGCATGTGTGCAGCGGACGCTGATGAATCTGGGCGGGCTGGCGGTAGCCCGGAACGATGGTCTCTTCTCCGGGGATCCTAACTGGTTTCCCAAGTGAGTATGTTGGGCAGCCCCGGCTTGGGCCAGCGTGGCGATCATGCTCACTCCTGTCCCTGGGAAACTCCCGTTACAAAGCACTTCCACCTCCCTTGTCTCTATCCTCCCAGCTTTCCTGGGATGGCAAGGGACAGTCCCTTTTGAGAGATGAGGGGGTGGCTTCAGAGAGCTCAGTGCTCTCTGAGGCAGAGCGGGCACCAGCGCTTAAGCCAAAGAAAGCCTGTGCTCTGCCCTGGGAGGACACTTACTGGGGCAGCCTCCACCCCCTTCCTAACCAGCGTTCACTTCCCACCCAGGAAATCCAAGGAGAACCCTCGGTACTTCTCGGACAACCAGCTGCAGGAGGGCAAGAATGTGATTGGCTTACAGATGGGAACTAACCGCGGGGCTTCTCAGGCAGGCATGACCGGCTATGGGATGCCACGCCAGATCCTCTGATTGGCTCTGCAGCCCTGCCCCTGCCCTCCGTGAATGCTTAATATATATGTGGTTTTTTTTTTTTTTTTTTTTTTTTTTAGCATTGACATTCCCTGAGAGCCCCTGGGAGCTTTCACGCTCCCTTCTGCCAGGGTGGGGGCCTGACCTGTCTCCTCCGGGGGTGCCCGACCGTGGCCTCCCCCTTATGCTTACTAATACATTCCCTTCTCCAAACCCACAAAACTGGACCAACTGGCCTCTTTTCCCCTGGGACCAAGATTGGGGGGGACCTCACCCTCTCTCTGCACCATACCTCTTCTCTTTCCTCTGGCCTCTTCCCTCTGAGCCCTGGGCCCTAATCCATTCCTTAGCTGGGAATCAAGGATGCTGCCTGACGGCCTTCTCCCCCAACAAGTATGCCTTGCCCACAGCTGTGGCTGCAGGGACTTAATTTATAGGGAGGGGCCTGTGGCCGCCGCCACCCCAGTCCCAGCTGGACTGCGCTCACCACACTTCGGAGGCAGCCTGCCCTGGCAGAGGTCCCCAGGCTTCTCATTTTCCATTCCTTTCTGTGGCTAAGGGGTGGGGGTGAGGGGGCCTGGGAGGGAAGGCTGCTCACCATGGGCTGGGGCTTGAAGAATCTGAGTTTGCTGATTTAAATAAAGAATCTCTTTTTTTTTTTTTTTTGGATGGATTCTGGCTGTGTCTGGGGCTGCTGAACCGACTGTGGGGAAGGGAGGGATGTGGGGGAAGTATAGGCACTGCCTCCAGGGAAGAGGTTTTTGAGATGGAAGGTCACAAGTGTCCCCCCATCTCTGACTTCCTTCCTGTTCTTTTTCTCACTTGTTTAGGTGAGGGGTTGAGAAGGGACAGGCCCTCTCTGCTGCCTTCAGTTTAGGAGTCATGATAGAGGATATGTGGGTAGTGTCCAGAGGGAGGGGGGCCCTGACCTAGCTGGGCCCTTCCCACAAGCAGAACGGCTGTCAGTCACCGCAGGAAGGTGGGGCCAATCGTCCCCACAGTCCTGAGTCCTGACAAGTGTCTGGGTTGGAGTTCCGTCCCACAGGCTTGATGCCAGCTCTGTTGTAGCTGGCCAGACCAGCTTGGGGGGTAGGGTTGCAGTGGTGAGGGTCTGGTGAACAGGGACATGAGTGAGCTGGAAGGAGTTGGTGGTGACTGGAGGGAGAAAGCCTTGTTGACCAGACACTTGTGAGCTGCATGTTCTCGAGAGCCTAGCAGCATCTTCTGGATGGGTGGCCTTGGACCACAGTTGTCAAATTTTGGGGTCGAGTTGTCCTGACTCCTACCCCTGACCTGGGCAAGAATGTTCCACCTGTAGTTTCCAACCCCACGGCCTTCCCATCAGATCTGGCATCTCCCTTGAGGTCCTGGGCCAGCCCTCCCCACTTCAGCTCCCACCCCCATCAGTCAGCCTGGCCTCCATTGTCCCTCTCTCCACTTTTACTACCATTTATCTTTGTTTCCTGAGGCGGGAGAAAGCTACAGCATTGTGCTGAGGGTGACAGAATGTGCAGTGGTAGATAACCAGAGACCTTCCATTCTCCTTCCCCCCACCCCACTGCAGCTCCCTCTGCCAAGAAGCACCTACTATGTGCCAGGCCCCAGGCCACTGCTGTGCATTAGCCATTAGCTCCGGGACTCTCCGCCTTATCCAAGGCCCAGCCACGGGTGAGCTAGTATTTGCTTGCCTGCCGCACTCCCTTGGGTTGTGGCACAGATAAGATAGGCCGCCGCCTCTGTGCAAATTCCCAGGGAGTTAGCTCTCTCTCCACCCCATTATCTCCCAGTTATCTCCCATTCAGGAAGACTTTGTGGAATGCCAGTAAGGAAGAATGATGTCATTGCCGAGACATTGAATTCACTGATATTTAAACTGAAAAACCGTTTGCACTCTTCTCTGATTTAACTATTAATAGCTACAAATTATTGGCCACCAGCCTCATGACTTACTGGGACCAGCACACCACAGAGCCAAGACTGAGAACAGCTGTGTTCTCCCAGCAGATTCCCGTGATAGTCCATGAAGTGGATATTACTCTATTATTCCTTCATTTTGTTCCCAGGTGAACACACTGGATCTCAGGACCAAGACCACATAAGGAGTTAGTGGAGGGACTGGGGTTTTGAGGGCTTCCCTCGTGGCTCAGTAAAAGAATCCATCTGCCAATGCAGGAGATTCAAGAGATACGGGTTCGATCCCTGGGTTGGGAAGATCCCCTGGAGAAGGGAATGCAACCCACCCCAGTATTCATGCCTGGAAAATCCCACAGACAGAGGAGCTGGCAGGCTATAGTTTATGGGGTTGCAAAAGAGTCAGACACAACTTAGGGACTAAACAACCAGCAGAGTTTTGAATCCAGATCATCCTGGCTGTGCACTCGCTGAGCCTTGCTGCTCCAGCTGGGACTGAATTTTGAGAGGTGCTCAGCCTTCCTCCTGGCTGCAACCACTACCGCCAATAAGCTGTGTGAGGCCCTTCCATGTCTCCCCTTAATCCATCTCACTCTAGGTTCAGCTCCTTCCTTCTGGAAATGACCTCCACTGACAACTCAACACTTTGTTTGGTTTTCTGATGGCTTCATTCCAGCATTTTGTTCTATTTGAGGTCACAGTTTCATCCCTAATCCGGCCCCTCATATTTCCTGCTTCTCCATCAGGCCCTGGAGGCCAGAATGGGTCCCAGCCCTGGGATCGGAAGGAAGAACTTCTCTGAATGGCACCCCCTTTCCCTGCCATCTCCTAGCAGTTCATTCCCCATGGCTCTCCACACTGGTGTTCCCAGCACCGTGTGCCTGAGAGTCTGTTCTGCTGCCCCGAACAATCTCCCCTCCCAGATGTTACCGCAGCTCCCCTCTCTCATTCGTCTTTGTTCAAATGTCACCTTCCAAGTACTGCCTTCCCTGGCCACCCTATTTAAAAACTACACACTCCACCCTCAACCTGCACCCCATCATCCTTCCCTGCTTTCTCCTATCACCACCTGATAGCCAATAAATTTTACTTATTTTATTTTGTGGCTTCACCCACAGAATGCATAGTCTGTAAGAGCTGGCACTACTCTGTATCAACAAAACCAACACAAACCTGCTTTTTTTTTTTTTCATTTATTTTTATTAGTTGGAGGCTAATTACTTTACATCATTGCTGTGGTTTTTGTCATACATTGAAATGAATTAGCCATGGATTTACATGTATTCCCCCTCCCTCTCAGGAGGTGGGAGGGGGGACCGGGATGGGGAATACATGTAAATCCATGGCTAATTCATTTCAATGTATGACAAAAACCACAGCAATGATGTAAAGTAATTAGCCTCCAACTAATAAAAATAAATGAAAAAAAAAAAAAAAGAAAGAAAAAAAAAAAAGAGCAGGTTTGTGTTGGTTTTGTTGATACAGAGTAGTGCCAGGCATGTTGTAGGTGCTGGATAAATATTTGTTGAATGAATAAAGGAATGAATGAGTGAATATCACAAGGCCCTCATGCTCCCGAATCCCATGGCATGGTGCCCAGCCAGCCCAGCGTCCCAGCAACCAACCCAGCCTGTCATTGGATCTGAAATGGAACCAGCCTGTCTCTCAATTTCTGATGCTTCCTCATTGTTCATTTCCAAAAGGTAAAACCTGAGAAGTCCTCCCTACAACCAGAGGAGTGGTGGTTGGGAAGGGGATGGAGAGTGGTTTGTGTGCTCTGGGCAAATGGAAGGTGCACGGAGGACTTGGCAGGAAAAAAAATGGGAGGAGGCAGGGGGAAGGGGGAAGAGTCAACTTTGGTTCATTTACTCCTTGTGTTCAGCCTTGAAGTGGAAAACCACTGTGTAGGTAAAAGGAAAGTAGTCTTGGCCTGTGGTGGCTGATGGGAAGGAGAGCTGGAGCAGGGAGGCAGGGAGTAGGGGAAGGAGGAGCAGGAGATGGAGAAGGGGGAGGAAGAGAGACAGTGTGGCTGACCTGTGTGGAAATAACTTAGTTCTGCACGGTCTGTTCCTGTGTACTGAGTGTGCATCGAGGTGTGTGAGAATTCACAGCACAAGGGCTCACGGGGTGACCATGTGTGGAGGCTGCCAGTGAGCAGGGTTTACCAAGGCCTGGGGACTGGAGGTGCGGAGAGGTGTGTGCAGGCAGAGTGTAAGCATCTGAGCCCTTGTGCACGGCTCCACTGACAACAGTAGGTCCGTTCTTACCTCTGCAGCCCAGGGCGCCCTCCGAGAGCTTGGCAAAAGGCCCAAGGATCGGAGAAACAGGGGAAGGGCTGGACAGTAGGGCCCCAGGGAGGGAGCAATAAAGGGCCTGGGATTAAATTTGTTGAAGAGAAGCCTAAAGGTAAATTAGTAATTGGCTCTTTGCAAAGAAATGAGTTTTAGTCCCAGTGGCTGGGGAGGTAGATTAAAAGCAAATGCACTGAAGTTGCACAGAGAGAAATTTAGTTTAAACAAGGAAAAATGATCCTCTTGACTCAGGTGTTTTAACCTCTGGATTCTCTTAAGGGTCAGGAGGAATGCCTTCAATAATAGTACAAATCTCATCATTTTCTTTTTTTTTTTTTAGTTCTACCAGTTTGTTGCTACCAACCCATCTCCCTCCACCCTCTGCACGCATGCTCAGTCATGTAACCCCATGGACTGCAGCCTGCCAGGCTCCTCTGTCCATGGACTTTTCCAGGCAAGAATACTGGAGTGGGTTGCCATTTCCTTCTCCACAAATCAGATCTTCTTAACGTGGAAAATGGGCAATTCTGTCTGGAAACACTCATATATAAGCCATTTTTTTCATTCATGTATTCATTCCTTCAACAGTGCTTGGGGTTCTAACCTATGCCAGGCATAGGAGATATGAAGATTATTAACACATGATCTCTTTGCTCAGAAAGTGCAGTCCTGTAGGGGAGATAAAACATGGAGATGAGCCAATTCAGAAAGCCAGTGATGAGTGCCTTTGGAAAAATGCCAGTAGGGCTCTCTGGGAGGATCACTGGCCAGCCTCCCACGGTCCTGGATCATTTCTGG